GTCTGTGGCCGCTCCGATCCTTCCCCTGCTTGGTCTCACCCAAGTTGGCGACTCCTCAAGCAGCTGAGCATCTCGAATTAGAAAGCAATGGATTTCTTGCTTCTGCCACAAATTCCCCCAGCTGTAAGCCTTCCAACCTTCTAAATATTCTTTTTCTATGTGGTTCAGAGTTCTGGGACCATTCCCTGAGCCTGCTTGGTCGGGTATTCTGTGTTGTTGCTGGTGGAGCTCCTTTACTGCACTTCCACCCAATCCGCTATCTTGTTTGTTCTCTTGTTTATATATTTTTATAGGTCATTTTCATGGCTATTATTCAACCTTTATTACTAATAATTATTTCATTGCCTCTGTCCTGTTTAGCATATTTAGCAAAAAATACCTTTAAAAAAAAATAGTCTTTTCATTCTGTCTCCCCTTTTTAGTTCATTCAGTTCTCCACATTTTATAGGGGATGCTTTAATATAGCTTTGTATACTGAAAGTTATTTGTCCAGACGAGATCTATATTAACACAATGTCATTTCTTCATGGAATCTAGCTCAATGGATTTTGACCTATGTTCTGTAGGACTTTAATGTTCCATAAAGAGGCTCCTCACGGTGTGATTTTAATGGTCAAAGCCAAGAGCCCTCCTGTACCCACATTAATCACATAGTTTGTTACTCTAAATATAAAACAAGTTTTCTGAGTACTGAAGGATTGTTAGTCTTCAGAAGTACTTTGTTAAGATAGAAATATCATCTGAGTGTTCAGAATGAAGACTTAGGTATTAGCTAACGCTTCAACTGGGATTGATCTCCAAGCATTAAAAGAGAAAGGAAACATGTAAGGAAACACAGAAGTGGGTAGGATCCTAGAAAGAAGGAGAGGTGTTCCCATGTGGAAGGGATTCAGAGACTTAACTTTTGCCTGCCTTACATCAGTAATGGTGATATTCAACCTGACCTTTGAAAGATTCAAAATTAAAGGACATGTTGTCTGCAATCAGTTTTTATGCCATTACCAAAAATACTGTACCATACTACTAATAGAGTCCTACTAAAGAGATCGCATCTACTTAGCAAAAGGACAAACTGATGTTTGAAATTAGATTCAATAGTATAGTTTTCAGCTTTAAAAGCAGTGAGAAAAAAAAAAAAAAGCTATTATACATACTCCATAAAATTCTGCACTTTTTCCATGATGGAAGGCGTCTTAATCAGCTGTGGGTAGAGGTTTGTGAAGTGGTCATACATATGTCTGAAATGATAAATAAATAAAAACTGTTACATTTCTTATTTTCTTCTTGGATTTCTCCATCAAAGTAGCTTAATCACTGTTAGATCATGGTTTCTTACAAATCAAGAATTACATTAAAAGAAGCTGTTCTTTGGCCTCTTATTTTAAACGAACAGTTAGAAGTCATAATTACTTCTGCCTCCCAGCCTTGACTCTGCTCACTTAAAACACAGAGGCTCTCACCCATGAAGAGCTGAGCCCACCACTGCCTCTGCCTGCTTCAGATTTAGGGCCCAGAACACGTATCTTTTGGCTCTGTTGATTTTTTTTCTCCCCCAATTCCATTTCTGGTTCAAACCAATGCCTAATTTTGTTTTTGAGCCCCGCTATATTACAATGATGTTCTCTTTCTACATATTTCACCATTGTTTTAACTTTGGAGCAGAGTGGACACATCAAACTGTGAGTTCTTTGGACAGAAAGTTGACCTAATGTCCTAGGTTTGGTTTTATTTGATGCTTTTTAATAACTAGGGAAGTCAACATTGGAGACAGGAGGTGACTCAGATTCTAAAAATGAGGATTTGGCTCAGCACTTTTGAATGTTGGATATGTATTTAGTAGTTTCCAGAAATGAACCTGATAATATGAGAATAATATTTTATTGCCATTTGAGTAAACAACACTAAAATCCTTTGAAATATTTTATTGCCCCTGATTCAATAAAATTCCTCTTAAGAGTATTTACTTCAAATTATTTGTATATAATTTTTAAACAATCTTCTGAAGTTAACATTTGTTTGTATATCTTTTATACTGCCACATTTCCCCCACCAATTTGGTACCTTCCTGTCACCTCTACAACTTTGGTAGGTGGTGGTGATGATGTGCTGTGAAGTTGGTTCCGACTCATAGTGACCCTGTACAGGGTTTCAGAGGCTGTAAATCTTATAGGAGCAGAAAGCCTCATCTTTCTCCCCTGGAACAACTGAACAGTTTAGAACAGCTGAAGGAACTGCAATAATAGCTAGACAGGTATCTGGGTGCAAGGAAGAGACCCTCTATTGTGGTCTCACATTCCAGGTTAATGGAATGTAATTCCTGTGGAATCTCTTCAGGTTGAGATCTTCCATCTCCTAACACTGGGCCTACATCTTTGTGTGGTAAAGTCATATAGTGTAGCAGTTCAAAGCACAGGCTTGAATAATTCTGGGTTCACATACTATTTTCACTATTCCTAGGCTATATGACTGTAAGAAAAATGTCTAGCTTTACCACACTTCCAAATTCTCATGAGTTAAGAGAACATTAGTATCTGCTTCATAAGTATGTTAGATTTAGTTGCAGAACTATGTCAGTAAGTCTCCTAAGTCAGCTGAGTCTTGCCTCCACTTTACATCTGTCGTAAGCATTCATATCTCAGAATCATGAAGACACACATACACCAACCCTTTCTGGAATCTTTTTGCACTGTCAATACCATATCATTTTGTGCTTGCCATAAACTTTCTCCAAATCTTTTCTAATTGTTTTGATTTTCTGAGTCAGATCATATTGGACATCTTTAGGATCTCTCATAGTGATGAACCCATTTTGTGTATATTAGACTATGTGCACACACACACATGTGCACAGGCTATAGAAAGACAACCTGGTTTCCAATTCTGGCTACTACTTATTATCTGTGTGATTTGCAATTTATTAGTTAATCTCTCCATGCCTGAGTTTTCACATCAATAGTATGAGTAAAATAGTGGTACAAGTCTGACAGCATTGTTAGGAATTAAATGATCTCATACATGTAAAAGGCTTTAATAAACTCCTGCACATTATAAATGCTGTAGAACATCAACATCACCAGCAGTAGCAACAGCATTTTGTAGTTGTTGTTAAGTCTCAAGTAATTACCACTGATGGGTTCTTTGACTTTTTTAAAATTTTATTGTGGGGCTGTGTCATACTTACCTCTGCTTTCCACACTGCCTAAAGCTTATAGCATATTCAGGTTCTAACATCAAAAAGTGCAAATTGAGGTATAGAGGAGACTATTAAGGTATTACTTGCTGGGAGCTCAGACACACAAAAGAGGAATCACCTTTTGAATACTTTCTTTACTTATTCCATGGTCTTACTATAACCTCTTTCATTATAGTCTTAGCAATTGTATCAACACATTGCAAGTTGTTGGAGAGGCGTTCTCTTTGAAGAATATACTTAGACTTTACCAAACACCTTGAGGGAATGGTTTCCTGGGCTTGGGGTCTCAGGGTCATGGTTTCAGGGGACACCATGGTCAATTAGCATAACGTAGTCCACAGAGACAATGTTCTACATTCTACTTTGATGAGTAGCTGCTGGGATCTTGAAAGTTCATGAGCAATCATCAAAGGTACAACTATTGGTCTCTCCCTGTCTGAAGGAAAGAAGAATGATGGGAACTGAAGACGCTGGAAACATTTAGTCCAGTGGACTAATGGAACACATGAGCTTCAGCATCCATGACCTTGAGACCAGAAAAACTAGATGGTGCCCAGATACCACTACTCACTGAAAGGGATCACATTAGAAAGTTCTGGATAGAGTAGGGGGAAATACCAAACAAAACTCAAACTTATGAAAAATACCAGGCTTACTGGTCAGATAGAGACTGGTGGAACCCCGAGACTATGGCCCCTGGTTACCCTAAGGTCTGAACTCATCTCCATGACTCAGTTTTTTGCCAAGTAACAGATAGTTATATTGGGGAAGTGGGAGGATAACAAGACTAGAAGAGGAGTCCTGGTGTGGCACTGCAGGTTAATGCACTAGACTGCAAGGTCGATTTGAAC